AGCTCAGACCTGGCAGCGACAATGGCAAGGCCATCCCCCAACACACCGCCGCTTCCGGGGCGGAGAACAAAACAGGTGCCAGGTCGACAACTTGGACGCCCTCGAACCTTCTCGCCGGAGAGAGGCCGAGGGTGGTTTCGTTGAGGAATGGGACGAAAACAACAACCAATTTCAGTGTGCGGGTGTTGCCGCTTCTCGTGTTACTATCCAACCCAAGGGCCTCTCTTTGCCCTCGTAYTACAATGCACACAGGCTCATATATATTGTTGAAGGCAAGCTATCTCCTTCTCTTCCTGCTGATCTAAAACCATGCATCTTCATTCGTTACTATATATTCCAGTTTAGAATCCATACATGCATGTTCTGTGACTAATGAGCCTCTGATCCATGCACAGGGAAGGGAGTTTTAGGGTTATCCATTCCTGGTTGCCCCGAAACATTTCAATCCTTCCAGCAATCTCAACATTCCGAAGAAGAAGAAGAAAACAGAAGCCGGAGATTCCAGGATCAGCATCAGAAGATCAGATTCGTGAAACAAGGAGACATGATTGCTGTGCCAGACGGGATTCCACATTGGATGTACAACAATGGCGATGCACCCCTTGTTGCTGTTAGCATCTTTGACATTGCCAACAGCATCAACCAGCTTGATGATAGAAAAAGAGTAAAAATTCTAACTCATTCATTCAGCCTTATAATCATAAATTGGTTGCTTATTCATCCAAAAAACAAATAATAAAAAAAAGTAGAATCATATCATTTGCTTACAATTGACCATTTGATGTGTATGTTTAGCAATTTTACCTTGCTGGTAACTCACAACAACAACAACAAGAAGAGCAGCAGCAACAACAAGGCGGTGAATCCTTCTCCAGGCGTGAGAAGGCTGGSCAGCAGAGCTCTTCACAAGAACAAAGACAACAACAAAAAGGAGGCAAGTCGTCATACCAACATGATCAGAAGGCCAGACAAGAGAACTCTGCTAACATCTTCAGCGGTTTTGATACTGAGACGTTGGCCCAAGCTTTTGGTGTAAGCACGGAGACGGCAAGCAAGCTAAAAGGTGAAAATGATCAGAGGGGAGGAATTGTTAATGTTGAGAAAGAGCTTCGGATGATTATGCCAACTTCTAGCGAAGAGGACGAAGAATATGAACAGGAACAACAAATGGGTGCAAATGGTGTAGAGGAGGCGATTTGCAACATGAGATTTAGACAGAACATTGAAAAACCCAAGCATGCTGATTTCTACAGTCCATATGGAGGACGCGTCACCATCCTCAATAGTCAAAACCTCCCAATTCTGCAGACCCTCCAACTCAGTGCYGAGAGAGGAACTCTCTACCAGGTTACAATAAGCTTCTCTCTCTCTTTCCCTCTCTCATTACTGATCAATCTCTCGTATATTTGTATGTGTGTTTCTCTTCTTCTTTGTTGCATTAATTAATTGTTGAATATATATATATATATATATATATATATATATATATATATATATAATTGTGTACTCGATCTATAATTTGCACAGAATGCTATGTTGTCCCCTCACTGGAACATCAATGCACACGGCATCATCTATGTTCTTAGTGGAGATGCTCGGGTTCAAGTTGTTGATAACTCTGGACAAACAGTCTACAATGGCCAGCTTCGTCGTGATCAA